CGACTGTGACAGAATACGGCGTGACAGTGACGCGTGACCGAGACGAAGGTGTCTGTAAGGTTTCCGATCAACTTATTACTCTCAAGAAAATTCACGTTGTCGTCAGCCGACAGTGTCATGAACATACGTTTGCCGTTTGGGCTGCAGCAAAAAAAAAGATCAGTTTCTTGAAACAGCTTACCTACAGTAATTGCTCAAAGTGTCCTCCACCTTGCTCAATACACAGCTGTGCACGATTGTTCAATGATCGGCGAACTCTGTGGCATACCCCCGGTATGTCCTGAACATGTGCGGACGCGGCCATCTCTCTTCCCAGTAGCTCTTGTTGGTTGGGAACAGGAGTTTCGTACACTAAAGCTTTCAGATAGCTCCAGATAAAATAATCCAGTGGGGTCAGGTCAAGTGACCGCGCAGGCCAAGGCACAGGGCCACCTCGGCCTATCCACCTATTTGGAAATTTGTCGTCCAAATACTGCCGCACTTGTAAAGAAAAGTGGGCTGGACCGACATGGTGTTGAAACCACATGTTGGCTCTTATATTCAGTGGCACATTTTCTAATAGTTCCGGTAGCACATGCTGTAAGGATCGACCATAAGCATGCCCATCCAAACGTGGTGGAAGCAGATATGGCCCGATGATATGCTCGTCCACAATGCCGCACCAGATGTTAATTGAAAACTGATGTTGGTCTCTATGGATGGCTATGGCATGAGGGTTTTCTTCATCCCAAATGTGACTGTTGCGGCTATTATTAAATAACCGTCCTTTGTAAAACAGGGCTCGTCAGTGAACAAAACGTAGCGACCAAAGTTTGGTTGCCTCAACTCCTGCTGCAGCCACCAACGACAAAAACGTCGACGCGGCAGATAGTCTGCTGGACCCATGGCTTGGACTTTTAAAAGGTGGTACGGGTGTACGATAACAAAAATGTAAACACAGCAGGCTTTTTTTACAAACCGGCGAGATTATGAAATGTGCTAGACGAACATTTTGCAGCTGGTGAATTTTTTGTTTCTCCTATGAGCTCTTAAGGTAAAATTAACTGTAGTGCTCAAACGGCATATTTACGAACTGGGGTTTATAAGGCAAAATTGCATATTTTTATGCCCTCTATAACCCCTATCATTTTGTCGCAATAATTATGGAACACCCTGTATATATATACAATGTGTTTGGTCACGACATACCGATACTTAAGGGGGGTATTTTTCAGCTATTTTTATCGACAAATCCACCTCCTTTTAAGTAATAGATGCTATCTAACGTTGGTCAAAATGGGTGCAATAAAATGCAAATTGCTTTCAAACTTTTTATGCATAAAAATGACAAATCAATGTTTCTCATGAAGAGTTTGGACATGTTCAATGTTGCAGAAGCTGTTCAAAATGTACTTTTTATTGGTTATGTACATTGTTGCTCTTAAAACCATGTGTCGTGTTGAACGGCGGACTACATCCGTGTCAGCTCTAATTCCGTTCGCAGCGGTATGGATCCTTTCCACGAGTTCTTTCCATGTCGCCGACACAAGACAGTAAACTTTTTGCTTCATTGTGCCCCAGAAAAAATAATCTAGGGGCACAATCGGGTGATCGGGTGGCCAAGCGACAGTGCTTCCACGACCTGTCCATGGGGAATGTTGCCCATCCAAATGTTCTCGTACAATTCGCGCAAAGTGTGCGGGAGCGCCGTCAAGCTGCAACCTCATGTTGCGGCGGTTGATAAGTGACAGATCATGGAGTAGATCTGCAAACTCGGTCCTCAAGAAATCCAAAAATCCCTGGGCCTCTAACCTTGAAGATAGCTCAACTGGGCCGACTGAGACTCCGTTTCCTGTTGGAATGTGCTCGGTCAAACTGTATGTACTTCTATGGTTCATGATCCTTTGACTCGTAAATTTTGCTTTGTCCGTCCATCGAATTTTTTCCCAAAAGTTGCAGTCTTGACGCAGCTGCCGTTGAAACCAGGTGCAAACTATGATTGTTGCTGCATAATCTGGCTCATGAAGATCCTGAACTCTTCTAAAATGATAGGGATGTAAACCTTCTCTCTTAAGGACTCTCCAAGCCGACCGATGTGACAAGTGTAGTCTTGCAGCGATCCTCCTCACACTAACTCTCGGATCTCGGGTAATCATGTTGAGAATCTCTTCTTCATCTTATGGAGACAGTAGCCTATGACGGTTGTTTACTGGCCTTTGAATCCCATTTTCTGCTAGTCTCAGGTATGTAAAGACAAAAGTCGTAACATTTTGCGTAATTCGATCAGGAAATCGTCTTCGATATTCTCTCACAGCAACTGCGGCATTTCCATTGCAAAAGCCGTAAAAAAACACCATATCAGCAGCATGGTGATTTGAATATTTATTACGTGGACGATTTGGCATGATACTGCCTTAGGCAAGACTAATAAAATGTTCAAACACAAATCACTTCCAACTCAAATACGTTCAGAAAATTGATATTCAAACTAGTCAGCAATGGTAACAAAATGGACGTCTGATCACAACGCGTGGCGACTCACTGTGACATTGACAACAAATAACCGATTTTTACCATCTCGATAACGAGATCTTTCGGTAGATGTTGTCTTACTCACACTCTCAATACATTCATCTCTATCCCAGGAATATTGGATTCGGTCCGCTACCTAAATCGGGGAGGCTTGGCAAGGGTCATGTTTAAGCAATATTTGTACTTAAAATAACTAACATAGGGTAACAAATTTGGTGTCATTTTGTAGATAACATAGTTAGCTGTAGAATTAGCGCAAAAAAAGTACAACTTCACAGACTCGTTTTTGAAAGGTGTACGGAAATTCACAAAATAATCAATTTTCTTGCATGTTTTTTTCTGTGTTTGTCTGTTTTTAAGTATGTTTAACGGTTAGTATCAATACAAGTTTTTCAATAATCGCTAGTACAACACGTTATGGTTCAAATCACACTAAATTTATTATTCTGTGACATTTATGTACTCAGTTATTACAATTTTTTACATGCACTAGCGTAATCGTAACGTAAAAATAAAAATGGCTGCCATTTCAAGGGTGGTGGGGTAGGACATTGTAGGGGGGATCTGTCGATAGAAATAGCTGAAAAATACCTCCCTTAAATATCGGTATGTCGTGACCAAACACATTGTGTATATATATAGTGAAATAGGATAAATCAATTCCGCCATTTTTCTTATTGTGTTTTAAAGTCAGAGTTTAAATGCTTCATAGTAAGAGAAACATACCTGACAATTGAGTTATGCATGAGTGGCGGGAAAAGTTGGGCAATAACGTGAAAGGCATAAAAAAGCGCTTTGTTAACATTACTTTTTTCGTTTTTTTTTGTCCTGTAGATAGAATCAAAATATTCTGTTGGGCAAAAAATGCTATTATTATTAGTATTATCATTATTACTATCAGTGTTCAAGCCATGATCGTGAATATACTCGTAAATTAAGCAGCGAGCAATGATGCTATAGTGAAATGTTATGTGTGGTTATCTTTTCTGTTTACGTTACCGAGACACTGATGCTTGTGTCAATTTCATATCAATTTTCTATCCGTACTGCATGGCTGAGATTAACGAAGTAAAGACTTTGACGTCAACTTCACAGTCCAGGTTTTTGATGGTATTTGTTTCGGCCTGTTTTTTTAAGCTGTTTCGTTTCATTATTATGCATACCGTTAATATTTTTACCCATTCAACCTTATATCAATATTCCCCAGCCCTTTGAGCCGCTTTTTCAACAATACATTATCTAGGACCATATCCTGTGAGGTTGATTAAAAAATGAAAGGTAATTTCCGGAAAAAAAACAGTACACCCTGAAAAGTAGTAGTAGTATACAAATTTTTCACAACGACTCAAAAGCCGTGCACAATCGTGTGACATTAATTTATGATTTTCCTGATTTGCAATGGCCTCTTATCATACCCTTTCATTTCTCACGTGAGTTGGGGCACACTGTGTATGATATTTTTTGTTTACCAAAAACTCTCAATTCACAGCAAAAATTATATGCAATGATAATTCGTACATTGTCAACTTGCTTGTCACACTTCTTGTATTAACTGTAGATCTGCTGTTTTAAACTCTGCTGCCTGCAACTCAATCACTTCAAGGATCGAAAAACATGATGGCGAAGTACTTTTATCCGATTATCGATGATGATATGATCAGAAGGTTAACTGAACTGACACTACCACATCCACAGATGATATGTGGATGGTATCTTTTATCATTGATGGACAAATTCAATCCCTTTACCATGGAGCAATTTTAGGGCTTTCCACCGCTAGTTGCTTTCGACGAGAACGATCCCTAATGGTTTTCAAATGGTATTGCTTAAATTTGATTAGAATGACGTGTTTTTTAATGCTTATGCCTGTTTTTAAAGCAAGGCGGGAACGGGTTTCATTCAGGAATAGCCAATATATAGTAGATACACCATTGAGCTGCCGTAAACCTTTTCCCCCTCAAAAGAAAAGAGAGGAAAAAAAATGATCAGGATCGGCCGCTTCTTGATTCCCTGCAATCAAAAAGGTGTGTGGTGTAAGGCAGAGCGATGCTTAGTAATCAGTGATCCTAGATATTAATAAGAACACTTTCCGCTCGGAAAGCATAGGAGCTTTCAAAGTAGTAAGGCGTGAACGTAAATGGCAGTATCTTTGTATAATATGATTATATGATAATATAATTTGAGTAACCACTCCCTTATAAATGGTTACTTGTTTAATTTGAATCTCCTTAGCGACATATTTAGTTTGGACACTTATTCAGATCACCAATCGCATAATCATTTATAGGGTTATATCAACATAGATAAATTGTACTGCTGTAGAATCAAATTGAAATACAATAGCCCTGATCAAGTGACTTATGTTAGATTTCCTACTATACGTACATTATCAAATGCAAGTGAACCAAATTACATCAGGCGACAATTGAAGCTCCCAGGACTGAGAATTTTACTATTACTGTAGACTGATTGCATCTCCTTGTTAACAGCCTAAACGTATCAAACTTAAACTCTCTGGCGACAGTGGCATTCGAGGACTTCGTGCGCCCCATTCCTGGTCTGCGTAACCTGAAAGATTCCCACCAACTGCTCGCAATCAAAACCATCAGCACAATTCTGGGCCTGGTAATCATGGCGATCAGTTTCGGAGTGGGAACAATGGATGGAGTGATTGAATCATCCATGTTGGTCACTTCTGCCACTTCTGGGCCATTGCTGGGAGTCTTCATCATGGCTATGCTGATCCCCTGTGCTAACTGGAAGGTAAGTAGTACATTTTCTATATTGATACATTCGCGTACGTAGAAACCCAAATACTGAGGCACCACGGCAAGACATCTTGTTAATCTAGTTGTTCAACTGCCTGAGGTTAGAGAACTGGGAAACACTTCCTTAAGCAGATTGTTCTAGTCTCGACACCCTAGGATCAAGGAAGCGGTCGTACCGGTCAGTTCTAGATGTACAAAGTTCGACAGACTGTCCGTGGCCGGCGGAAGCCTGACGGATCATGGAGGACATCTCTTAGGAGCAAAGTCCATTGGAGTATCAGTAGAAAAGATCTATCACTCCTTATCTGAACAACTACAACATATTAAACATGACGAATCGCCGAAAATACCACATTTATTCTTTTATCTATAGGGTTATAAAAACAGGTCAACCTAAAATAGGGCTATTTAAGAGAAAGATTTGTGCCTTTGTCTCGTCCCCAGAGGGGCAGAAATAATCTCAATTTTATCGTACCTAGGCATAGAACGCGTTCCTTCCGATAATCATTTGCTTATGTGGCGGTTCACTTATGGAATAATTTACGAACTTCAATTAAAAGCTCATCGTTAAAAACATTCTCAAAACTGACAAAAACGTTGTTACAGAATCACCAGCTACTTTAGCAGCGTTTGTGTGAGCAAACATATCGTTTTTACATTCCTACTCGCTGACAAGTTGTATAGATTTGTTCTTCGCGTCCGTTGCCAGCTCCCGAGGGTGCTTTCTTCGTTTTTGCCTTTTTGTGTTTCACCGCCTTTTCATTTGCCACTTTATTGTTTTTTTTTTATTTTGTTTAAGGACTTTTAGGGTGTTCAGGGCTCTTTCGCATGGACTCTTTGTATTAAAGGGTCTAATGTATCGGTTTTATAATCGAGAGACTGTCCTTTTTCGTAATTGCTCTATATGTAGAATTTGCTTTGTTTGTGATGTCTATTCATGACGAAATAAATATTTTGAATTTGAATTTAAAGCTCTGAACGCCCGTCGGTGTGAAAGGGGACCCATCCCAAATATGTGAGCGTAATCGAAGCTGGGTCTTAACGGGGCCTTGAACAGGATGGCCGGTTTGTGTTAAGGAAAGTAATTCCTAGCCCTAAACAGGTAACTCAACTTTGTTCAGCTGCTATCTCGATTGCCGAAAGATGCTCGTGCCAAACCAAGTTCTTGGTAAAGTTGAGTCCGAGCAGCCAAAGCTAAAGGCTTCTAGGTAGAACTCGGCTGTCATTAAAATCAGATGTACGCTAGAGCGCTTCCTGTTAGTCAAATTGCAGTACTGTGTCTTGAAAGCACATTGTTGGGTCACTGGGCAGTGTTAACTTCCCTATTCCTACACAGTACATCCATTTCTTGGCACGTATCCCCGTTTGTAAAGGCGTATCATACAGGTTGGCCGATATCTACTGCTTTTTAGTTTCATCTTTCATGAGCAGATGCGTTTTCTCCAATATGAGGTTTCCCGAAATAAACTACTACACAGATGGCTACAAAAACCAACAGCGTAGTTGCAGCCAGGATGTAAGGGGTAATGTATAGAATCGAGGTACCTATAATACTAGACAATGCAACAACATTTTAGGCCAAACTAATAGTAATCCCTGAGCCTGAGCAAAATGTTCTATGAGACAGGGAACTATTATTTAGTCAAATTTGTACTGGATTGGGTGCAAAACAAGGTAATTGAGCTCTAATTGCTAGGATACGAAGGCAGGAAACAAACGAACATGCCAGTCAAATCAGAGGCTGATCACTTAGTAGTCCATGGTACTACGAAGATACGTATTCACTAAACGAACTAATGTACTTTCTGTAATACAATGATTTATACTTACCACTAGTTGTTAACAAATGTGTAACTGACTACGCGCTTTCCTCGTAACCAGGCCACCTTTGACCTTTTTGCAAACTCCGTAGTACCAACAAGCTATCTACTAGTAACTGAGTCCTGAATAAACCAGTTCTAGCGATGCAATGTACCTATGTTAATCTTACACCGATCTGGTGCGTGATATACAATAAATACGACCCGTAGCTCGGAATTAACTTTGAGGTGGCGATTCGAACCGCGAGCCTGGGGTTGACCGATTAGTAGTTCTCAAAAGTTTGAGCGTAGTGGAGATTAGTTCCCAATGTTCTAGATCTGGTAGCCGCTGATAGATAGCGCTACTACTTGTTCCGGTGCGAACAAACTACTTTCGCGACAGTGTGGCGGTTTTAACTGCCGTTAACGTGACAGTTCTTATTGCCACCGACAGATGGCATCACAATAGCTCACATGTCCATCAAAGTATAGGTCACGAAGAAATCCCAAAATTTGTCAAAAGTACCTCATGTAATATCGGAAAATCCAAATTCAGTTTGAACATGACTTCTTACATGTAATACAGCTGACGAGGTGGGTCTTCTACGTTTCCATCTGAACTGAAATCATGAAGCTCCTAGGCCCAGTAGAGGAGGTTGTGACATGACTCCCCATTTTCGTTCTGTTTATTTTATATAAGTAATCATCCTGCTAAAGGATTGGACAATTTCCATTCCCTGGTTTACGTAAGGGATATAGTTACGAGTGAAATCAAGAAAAAGCAATGCAACTCCAATAATTTTCGATTTACACCACGCCACTCCAATTCTTTTCGATCCGTTAATATATTTCCCATTACCTACAGCATTGCTATATATCTCTAAGCAAACGGCGTTCCGCTATAGATCAGTTACTTTGGCCATTTATAAGAAATAAAAAAACAACAGAGATCTATGGAATGTAATTTCTTTGAAGGAGTATTATAACATCGCGTTCAGCTACAATCCAGTTAGTCACTTTCTTTATTTCTGGACATCGCCTAGCAATAACTCCTCAAAGGAGCCTTAAAGATAGATCACACAAAAACATTTTAGTTAGGAACTGTATACTTTCACATAAGGTGTAACACTAATTACAGAACGCTCTTTGAAATTTCATAATGAAGTAACACCGATTAATCGAACAGCGTTCCTATGACTAACTTCAAGTATAAACAGCACCCCCTAATCCCGAGAGCAGTACCGCAAACCACTTCAAATGTACGCGTATGTATGGCGCTCTATTGGTGCTGGATTGCATATTCTTCTACGTTTACCATAGGATACCTGACGACGTGAATACCTTGTGGAATTTTTGTTTTATGCTTTCTCACAATCACGCTTTATATGCAGATGAGTGTGGGTACCTTATGACTGTACTAAGAGCTACTCCGCTGAATGCCTGGCAACGGGATCAGTAGCGTGAAATGAGTAGATTAAAACTTAATGGGCGACTGCAGAAGGAATTATTGTTTGGTATTCTGATATTGAATCCTAGTAGGCAACTAAGCGTGGGATTATCCTCGTGGAAGAGCTTCCATCCAGCTAGTGTGTTTGGATTGCGATTGCTGTTGTCGTGCCAATTTAGATCAAGGTTTCATTTTGTTTCCCTAGCCGCTGTTTGGGGGTTCTAGGGTACTATTCTGAGGCGTGAAAAAGTGTATCTCAATCATTGCGTTACGTAAAAAGTAGCGTCAAGTCGGTTGACTCTGCTCAGCCCTGTGTCTCCATTTCTAGCCTTTTTCTATGCCGCCACTGGAACGATTTTGAAAAACTACAAATCTTTTGTGTCCTTAACAAGTTCTCAAGTTATAAGCGTCATAACATTAGCCGACAGACCGACAGACAAGCAGACAGACAGACCGACGGAAATAAGTGACATACAAGTCATACAAGTACAACTAAAAACTCATGTTCAAAAAACTTTGCGATTACAATAGTTCTCCGCCGGAAGGAGTGGTCGGTAAAAGGGTTTGGCGGAGAGCAATCTTTTACACAAAGAGCTGACGAGGTTTAAAGAATCACAGTATATTTTTCTTATTATCGATTACACGGAATGGGGTTCCTACCTTTGTGCCATATTGGTCCTCGGATTCAATTCATATTAATTAAATATCTTGTGCAGCCGCGGTGACGCATATTCTCAGAGGCAAGGTTGCTTTTCTTCAAGGTATTATGAGTGTGTGTCTCCTCTTCATCCACATAAAGGTAATGATACGTTTCTCTATGTTCTGTATCCGGCAGACATTCAAAACGATTTCGGAAGGTCTACGAAGCAATAACAGCTAAATGCAACTGGTCTTTGCAGGTAGGAACCCTTTTCCTCGTATTCGCGTGATAGCTTAACGGTTCGACAAAAATTATGACGTTTGAATATGCAAGTTCTCCGAAACGTCCTATGTGTATATATTCACTTAGTATATCTCGCAAAATTCTCTAAATAATTAATTTCGTTGTTAGTTTAAATAAAGTAGAAGCATACACGTGAGGCAAATATTTTTATCCAGTTCAATAATGATAGATATATTATTATTAGAAATGTATTTTCATATCCATCGAGAAATGGCATGACATTAGTCCTGTTTCATCTACCGGATGGAGGGCTGCTACCTCGAATGTTTTTTATTTTTAATGAGTCTCACCTGAAAACTGTCGAAGTATTTTCTCTATCACATTTATTTTAGCGTTATTGAATAACGCGACTGGTAAATCTCCTATTTCGGTAGTATAATTTTAGGGTTAAAATCACATACTATAATTTTCTGTAGGGTTCAGTTTAAACTGAATGACATGAGGCCACATGCGACATAAGGGACAAGCTTATTTTATTTTTTTTATACCTAATCTCCACAAAATATATAAAAATGTTTGTATTACCTTTGTCGAATCCAAACTGTGATTTGTTAACCATGAATATAGGTCACAGCCATGACAGTATCGATTATATGGTCGTTGTAACATCTGAAGCTTACACTGTGATTTTCATGTCGATAATCCACCATGCTTTTCCAAACAATAAAGCCATATGTATTGACAGAATCTTCCTTAGTGTTTCGATAACAAAGGCGATCTTCTTCCGTACAATGACAATATGTTTGATTTATCTCGTTTGCTATTTTTTTTCATTATCAGTGTGTTTACTACAATAGTCCTGTAAC